TATTCGTAATTTTTTTGGCGTCAAGTATAACTCAACTTATTAATCAGCAAGTACATTTCTAAATATCTGGATTTTTCTTTTCTTCATGACAGGCCACACTTTCGCAGGACCAGAAAATATGTATCATTTTCAACCTTAAGATTTCACAAATATTTAAAATACAAAAAAGAAAATTCATAAATACTAAATTTGTAATTTATTTTTAACAACAAGAAATGAATACTAATAGCAAGAAAATCTTTCTAATTCTCAAGAAAAACTTTCTGGTTTTCAGATTATTTTCATTTTGTGAAGATTTTCTAAAAAGTTTTATTTTGTTATTTTGTTCCAAGCTGAGCAGATCAGCAGCAGCTCCTTTTTTGCCACACACACAGACACAAGTTGTGCTATTTATAGTCAGTCATTTGCCCGCCCCTCTGCCTCTGCCTCGGCCTTCTGCCCTCTGCCTGTGCACAAAAGTCAATAATTTATGCTTCCGCCATGTTCCATTTCCATTACCATTCCCATTCCATATGGGACAACTGCTCCAATAACAGCAGTACGAAGTAGCAGCAGCGACAGCATTAACTGCACTTCCATTGACCTAATTCCTCCGTGTGTGCTGCAAATCAAAACAAACATACTTCCAGGCGCGCTCTTTTAGTATTTGGTTGCCCTGCTATCGGCGCTCTCTATTTGTTTTGGTTTGCCCTGCTAAGCGCGCTCTCTCGCTCGCTCTTTCTTTCGCTTAAGTGGCCTAGTTATGCGCTCTTTGGCCGCACTGTTGCGTTGCGCGCGCACTCTCTTTTATTTACTCGCTTTGGCACTGTTAGTGGCCTGGCCGCTCTTTTTGTCCCAGTTCTTTTGCATAGTTAACAGCACTTATAATCGGAGCAGGGACAGGGACAGAGACAAAAAGAGAGAGACAGAGACATAGGACGGGACCAACCCCCAGTTAAATATGCTCACACACATATACAAATATTCGGATATGTGTAGAGCTTTATATACAGTTGACCCAATTTCGTGTTTTGTCCTTTCCACAGCTGTTCTCGTATTTCGCCGTTCGCCATTCTTCGTATCCTTTTTTTTTGGGGGAATGGGCTTGTTTATGTTTGCAGTCAGCTCTAAAAATGGAAAGCGAAAAGCGAATACCAAAAAACTTGTTATTTATACAAGGCACGTAAATGTGTGTGCGTGTATATGTATATATGTATTTATGTGTGTGCTTTTGTAGCTTTATTTTTGGGCTGTTCATTGAATGGAAAGAACGCTAGAGGAAATTACATAGCAACAATAACAAAAACAAATGCTGATAACGCAGGTTTTTTGCGCAACTCATTTCTTGTAATGTGTAACAAAACAATTTGAATGAAATTCATTGCTGTCAGCAGCCCTCCTCACCCCTCCCCCTCCACATAACCCATCAGCCCATTCCTTCTCTTCTGTTGTGCAGTAGGCAAAAAATAAAATTTATATAGCATTAAGCAAATGACACAATGCCACTAAACATAGAAGGTGTTGCATCTGAGCGCCAGCTGCAACTAGAGATCGATAACAAATGTAATTAACTAAGCTTAATATGGAGTTTGATAGCTTAGGGTATGTAGATTTCAGTCTATATCAGTTGTTAGTTATACATATACAAATGTATGTATGTATTTATGTGTGTATGTGGGTATGTATTGCTATGTACACTACCCTTAACTGAAAATGGCGCCAGGTTAGGGCAAGCATAACGATGCCACTCAGCTTCATAAAGCACGCAAACAAAACAACAACAACAACAAATTGATGGAGTCGCAGTCGAACAAGGAATGCCACATCAATTTTCTCTGACTCACTCACACTTCCACACCCACTCTCCAACTTCTTCGGTCTCTCTCTCTCTCTCCCTCTCTCGTTCGCAACTCCAGACTGCCTTGCACAACGTTTGTGTTATGCCTGCCATTTTGAGCTCACACTCACGTCACGCATTTATGCGCCAAATCAGGGACACAGTGCGGTAGGCTGTTAGCTTGTGGCTGTGAGATGTTTGTTGTTAGGCAGTGTCCTTATTGGGGGATGCTCTCGCTTGAAAGCTGGCAGTTTTATCACTGCGAAATGTTAAACTGAAGTTTCAGTTGCTATCGCTCATTAGCAGACAACCCCCCCCCCCCTCAACCCTCCCCCTACCCATTTCATGGCAACATAATTAACATAAGTGGAGAGAAACAGTCTCGAACGTTTACCGTTATTTAGCAGCAGGTAAGCGGCTTGTTGCCTTGGCTATTATTGGCTTATGGAAAGAAATTGATAAAGCTAAAATCATTTCCGACTTGTTGGCGCATTAATTAAAAATAATTAAAGGCAACAGCAGCAGTTGAATTGTGCTGTGAATTGCGTATTTCATGGACTTAATCAAATATTTTGTCGATTACCGTTATGCTTCTTCTTTCTCTTGTTAATATTTTTACTTACACTCACACACACATGCGCACAACAGTCTTGCTAAGGCTACACTCGGAAAGAAAGCACATTTCTAAAATTTATTTTAGTATTTTCAGTTGATCTCTATAAACGAATTTGAAAAACGTACGAAGTTATGAGGACTCGCACTAAACTCTAACATAAAAGCCGAGACAGCAAATTTCATTAATTGTTATTTTCTAGATCAAGAAAAACTTTCTATTTCTTATGGCAATTTGACTAAACTCAAGACAATTTTATCCGAGTGTACAACCACAAATGGCAACAATTGTTAAGCATACATACAAACACTGGAACACGTAGTATTTATGGTGCCAGGATACGCGGCATATCCTTTGCTCCGTTTCGCCTCGGCCGCAAACGAATTATGGCGCCCACTAATTGCGCTGAGTTAAAACGAAAAATATGTACAGACCCAACAGGCAGTTAATGTTGCACACACACACACACACGCACATGTATAAGTGTGTGTGGCAACCACGTGCGTTAACAATTTACGCCAAAGTTATTTATGTTTATGATCACGTTGCGGTTTGCCAGTTTTCCTTTCACTTTCGTTGCCACTTTCGCTTTGCGAGTTTTCTTGGCCAAAAAGAAAAACTGCCAACTGGAGTGGCTTTAATTGCCTGCACTTGTGGGCGGCAACTCTAGCACCAAGGCACAACACAACCATTGCCCAAACTCGAGCAGACATCATTAGACCTTATTGCGAACCATTTAAAATTGTTACTCAATTATACCAAGAATGAGAGTAGTAAAAAAAAACAAAGGCAACTTAATTAATATTTGGGAGACGACAAATTTATAATACTGATATCCATTAAAAATAGCCATACAAAGAAAAATATACTTTAACTTATTGAAAAATAAATGCCAATTGATTAAACTCAATACGTTCAATATTATTAATATTAGACTGAGTGACAAATATATAACAAATATTTTTCTAAATTTGTCAAATGATCAAAAAATTGTGCCTTGACACAAAATCTCATATAAGATAAGACGAGCACTTTAAATTAATCGAAAATGTGAAGCCATATAGCGCTTACCAAATATTTTTCTATATTTAGAAATTGATTTCAAAATAGATTTTTAACTGTAAACTTGATTGGCTCAGAAAAATGTACAAAAGAGACGCACTTTAAATAATGGTAGAATTGAAACCTGCATCTGACCGAAGAAAGCGAAACAAAAGAAATGAAAAGCCGCACACTTTAAATGAATTGGAAATTTAAAGCCTTTCAAGCGATTTCCAAATATTTGTACATATTTTCCAGTGGCTTTAAAACTACTTCCTTAACTCAAAATGTGTAAAATATGAATCCATTGTTTCATTTGACAAATTGTTAATCACTCGACAACTGAGCAACTGAAATTAAATTTGCAATTTTTGAACACTGCACACAAGGACAAGCTGGTGTGCAAGGACGCAATCAAAAGCACAAAAGCAACCAAAAACGAAAAGGAAGAAATTGAGATATGTATGTCAAAAACAAAGAGTGCGTTGCCGAAAAAAAGTGGGTCAACAGCGCAGCCAGCGTTGCCCGTCTAACCTTCAACATAAGGCGGCGCAGCATAAATGCAGTCGCACGGCCGCTAAAAATGCCGAACGCTTGCCAGAAGCGTGTCAAGGCAAGCGCTGCATATGCAGCATGCAGCATACAGCATTCAGCAAGCGGAAAGGCATGTGGGGCAAGGTGACCCAGTAAATGGGTAAATGCCGAACGCAGCGCTGCAAGGACAAGGAGAGAATGGCGCCCAACGTGTGCTATGTGTTATCAGTGTGTGCAGCTGCCGGGAAACCGGAGCACATTCGGCGCATCCTCGTTTTAATGCTCGTGTTTGCGAATAATCCGGACCAGGCACAGGCCCAGGCAGCCAGTTGCATTTTACGCACCAACACAGTCGCATTTCGCACCGGCCCGGCACCGGTTCACTGGCTGCTCCTCCGTGCTACGCTGCTCCTTGTTCCGTGCTCCTTGCTAGCTGCTCCTCGCCATGCACGCTACTGCTCTGAATTACTACGTGGAGCGCAGTGATTACGAGTCCTATGGCGATTGTGGGGCCAGCAGCGAAAGTGATGCCAGCCCGGGCTGTCTCTCCTCATCCCCAGCCTCAGCCTCATCGCGCGCCGGCAGCCCACCAAAGTCAAATGCGCTCTACCATCGCAAAGTACGACAGTCTAAGAAAAAAATTGATGCATTAATTTACAAAAAAAAAACTATTATTTTTTTCGTTAAGTTTCTACTTTTTTATAATATATTATTTTTTATTTTAATTTGATTTAAATAAGTTGAAAACGCTGATAAAAGTATGTTTTTTTCTTTTTCATTTTTGAACGAGTTTTCTTCCACTTTCAAAAATATATTCATAAGTTCCTTAAAATTCTGCGCCTGCTTTCTAATCACATATTATATATTAACAAAAAAATAAATAAATAAATAAGTAAATAAAAATAACTCTGTACATATATAATTCTTGAACCTTAACCCTAAAAATTCTCCGTCTGCTTTCTAATTACATATTATATATTATTCTTCTATTTGCAGTCGAAAAAATTCCGTTGTACCTGGAAGGGATGCGGTTTTGTGGAGCCCACACAGCTAAAAATTGAACGACACGTGCGGGACAAACATTTGGGGTAAGTGCCACAAAAAAACATACAATAAACCCAAAAAAAAAAATTGGGTTGACTCCGAAGAGGGTCCTTTCAATTGTTGCGGTATCGGCATCCAAAAACCAACAGCAAATGCAGTCAGTGGCAGGGCCTTGACTTAGTACAGCCCCACAAACAATGGCAAAGGCATTCACAATTGTTGCACAGTGGAGCAAAACAGCTTTAACTAAGCCTATTTTATAATGTCAGCTATATATATACAATGGAAAGAAGTATTTTTGACCACAGCGATTTTGATTATTAGAAGTTATGTAAAAATTGTCAATATTATCTCTAGTTATTAATGGTGATTTCATTAAAAGCATTTCAGTAAAAGAATTTGTATTAAAAAGTTTCTTAGGAGTTATTTGAAGAGTTCTAGCAACATTTAACTTCACAAAAAGTGATTAGCATTAGCTGAGCTCACAATATTCAAGCGTTATTTAAGACTTACTTTTGTCCTATAAGCCATTTTCAATTTAAGGCCTGTTTTCAAAGTTATCAATAAGAAAAAACTACATATAATAAAAAATGCTTCAGAACCGCCAGCAATTTTTTTGCAGTAAAAAATTGTTTTAATAATTAGAAAAAATACATTAAATTATATATTTAAAAAAAAAAAGTATTAAATTATTGTTTCTTTTCGTGAGAATTTATTACATTTGTTCTTTTAAACTAAATATATTCCGAAATTTGTTTCGTTCTTAGTTAAATAACAAACGTTTTCCAAACAAACCGCTAGCTTTCCCTTCCACTGTGCAAATCGCTTGGAGCTGTTCAAAACTGGAACACTTGTAAAAACATACATACATATGCAGTATCCAGGTCACACAGATACAGCACACACACCCACACACACCCACACACACCCACACACACACACACACATTTTGCATTTACTTAGAGCACCTGCAATTCAAGTGGGTTGGGGAGCGGGGAGATGGGCGGGGAAGGGATGTGCCGGGGCTATGTTGGGGGCGACTTGGTTGCACTTTTGAGGCCAAGGTCCAAAATGGCGGGCCTTCTTAAGCGTTGACATTTGCAAATGTTAAATGTATTTGCTATACACACACACACACACACACACACCCTCAGACACACACACACTCACACACACAAGGAAAATCCGCATTTGAAAAGAAAGAAAAAAATGAAAGGCAATTTGAGTTTTTGTTGTTTTTCATTTTGCGTTTTTTTTTGTTTTGCATTCAATTTGCTTGTTTTGTTATATTTTTTTTTGCTGCATAAATGCATGGAGTATGTACTTATATATAGAATTATATATATATATATATAGAATTATAGTTTATGCATGTATTGTATTGTATGTGTGTGTGTGTGTGTGTAGGTGGTGTGTGTGTTGATTTTATTGTTGTTATTGTTGGCAAATGAACAGCTCTCCAGGGCTAAATATGTATTTAAGTGTGTGTGTGTGTGTGTACAACTATTTATGCTTGTATATATGCTTAACTCACACATACAGTTGCGAACAAAATAATACCACTACTAAAATTTAAATTGTACTTCAATTAGTTTTTAGTAAATAAAACCTTAAGAAAAAAAGTGAGAAGGAAAAAAATTAAAAACTTAAATTTTATGAAAAGGGTAGAAAATTATAAAAAAAAAGACCAATACTTAAAAAATATATGGTTTTTCTTTGTCGCTACTTTTTGGCACTTTTCCCTTCAATTAAAAAAATCAACAAATATATATTGAAAAGAATTCCAGGAGCAGTACAAACTTTAATTAATGTAGTGGGCATACTAAACAGTATATTAAAAAAGCCATATTTTTTGTCAAAGTGATGCTATTATTTTTTTCGCAACTTTATGTATGTATATATATATATATATATGTATGTATGCGCTTGGCAGGCTTTTAGCGACTTTCTCAACTAAATCAATGAGCAGAAGTGGAAAGAAATCAATTTAAAAAAAGTATTAAAATATTAAAAACAACGCATTTAAATTGAAACATATATATAATCTCTCAGCACGACTAAATTGATAAATATGTTAGTAATTATATATATATATATATATATATATTTATATATATATAGTATATGCCTACTAGCTATATTCTATGAGCAATTTGTTATAATTTCAAAGAAAACTAAGCATAAACATTGAACTTTCAATTAAAATTATGAATTGAAACTAGGTTTTTCATTTTTCGTTGTGAGGTACATGAAATTATTGAAATACAATACAATGATATTAATAATAATATATACTTAACATAAATATTATTTAAACATAGGGGGGAGACATTCATTGAGTTGGTTTTTGTTCAAAGCTTTTAAGAAATTTCCTGAAGCTTGCAATTGATCTTGATTTTCGACTACGTTGATTATTATTTTTATATATATATTATTATAAAAACTCTAAAACTCTAGGGGCGGCTAAAAATTAACTTATCGTTTATAATGTTTGCTGTTCTAAACAACTACATATTTATATAGTATTTTAGTCTGCCTTGATTGTTTAATCTATACGATATTATTATATATATTTGATGATTTTTTTTTCTTTTTCGACTTATTTTGATATACACAAAAATAGCTACAACAAAATGCCTGGGCTAATTCTTTTTTTTTTTTTTTTTGAGAATAAATAAATGTAATAATAAAAAAAAGTAAAAATATATAAGTGAACTTTTTAGACAGAAGCATTAAATAACAAAAACCACACATAGAGTAAATCAAAAATTGTGCTAGCCAAAGTTGCCACATTTTGTTGCATGCTCTCCTCCAAGAAAAGAAAAGAATTCAACTTGAACTTGAACTTTAATGCGGATGCATCAGACCCAGATTGATGTCCATGCCGGGATCAGCCATGCCATTGACAGAAAGTCCGCCATTTAACATGCTATTAGCTGGGGGGAAAAGGGAGGGTTTGTTCTTTAGAATTGAAAATATTGGGTATTGAGATCTTAAGCTACCTACAATTACGGCTGCCCTGCTGCTGCTGCTGTGTGTCCATCTGTGTCCAATACTGCTCCGACGGACTCTGCGTATTAGTCCCCGGCGGCGCTTGAACCGGCGCCCCCGTGTACCGAAAATACGGATTCTTCAAATCGAGCGTATTGCTCGACGAGATCAGAGTGCCTTCGATATGCAAATCAATCGTTACATCATACGATTGCCGCCGGTTCGCTTCGAGCAGCACGCGACCCGTCAGCGTCTGCCCCTGCTTGATAAAGATGGGCATGGGCAGCAGGCAGCGCACCTGATACCAGTGGGTCAACGGTGCCGTCGGCGATGTGGATAGCCACACGTTCTGGGTGCTGCCACTGAACTCCACGTCGAACCAGAAAGCCAAACCGTGACAAATGCCCGTCTGTAGTATGTGAAACTCGAGCGGAATGTCTGAAATTGAAATAGAAACAGGTGAAATCTTATTAATACAACTGGTAAAAATATATTAGCAGAAAAAGTACAAATTATATTAAGTCAGTTGCAGAAACCATATTAGAAAAAGTATAAAAGTGAACAAAATAATTGCTACTCAAATCCTATTAATGCAAATTCAACTCATGTCTAATGAACACAAGTTCAACTCTAGCTTCAACTAAAAACTTTCAAGTTCAACTTCAACTTACCAATGAGATGCAAATCGTTCTCCTTGTCGTTGAGAAAATCGCAGACATGTCGCACCGATTTTGCCATGCAGATGCGTATGTCGAAGGTGTCGACGATCGGCTGTCGAAAGTACTCCTTCATGCCCTCCTTGTGCAGGGTGGTCAAATCGACGCCGTGAAATGCGGACTGGTACCAGAAGTTGGCCTTGTTGTACTGCTCCGAGTAGAGGGAATCATCCGAGAATGGGGCAATATGCAAATCGCCATGAGTCGGATACATTTTCCCCTGGGGCTTGAGCCATTTCCTGGCATGCAAATAGGTTTCGAGCATCCGTTCGTTGTACAACATATAACCCATTGGCTCCGAAATGATAACATCCACTTTTTCGGGCAACTCAATTTCCTCGATTTTGCCGGGTATTACGGATATCTTGTGCTGCACATTATTCGATTCGACCAGTTGCTGCGCATACTGCGCCATATTCGATGCCTCAATCGCATACACTTTCGCAGCGCCCGCCTGCACGGCGAAAAAGGATAAAATACCAGATCCAGCTCCAACATCAAGCACTATTTTATCCTGCAAGGAAAAAAATTTAATAAATTGAATAACCATTTCAAACACGTCCTGCAAATAAATCACCAATTTAGTAAAATGTCTCGAAAGTAATTTCAGATATTGTTTTGAGTTGATCTATATCAAATATAGTCTATATACTATATCTATCATACTATATAATTAATCTAGCTCAACTACGATACACCCTGCAGCCCTTCACACCTAAAAGTAAACAGCTGTGTAGGAAGTGCTCTCATTTCTTTGTTCAGTTGATCAAAAATATATCTATATGTATGTATGCTTCCTTCTGCCTGTTACATCAATTTAAATATACCCCTTACACCCTTTCTCATTGGGTGCACGGTTAATAACTTCACTTATCTTTATGTGGAAGATTGAACTCATCTGATTCATCGATCATCGATCGATATCAATAACTTATGCTACATACAGCGCTGTTAATTACAGGCTTAGTGCCGTTTCCTATTTTAGTAGTTGGCCTGGTGCTACAATCTATAAACTACATTCAATAATCTCTTCTTCAATGACAAACATAAGATCGCTATCAATAACGTATGTTATGTTACAGCGTTGATTACAGTTTAAATTCTGTTAATCTACATTACTAGTCGATGAATATTTATATCGTATGTTTTGTGACAGCTGCTAATTACAGCCTTGTGGCCTGTTATCTTCGAATCAATTACAAACAAATTCAACTTCCACACGGAAGTTTGGAAAATTGCAAGCTGCTGCAAGCTGGCTGACCTGAAAGTCAATGGAATTGCCTAGAATGGCCCGCTGATAGGTGCTCGTGCGCACATAGTCCTGCATCATGTTCTGCTGCTGGCTGAGATAGCCGTAGAATTGAAAGTATTGCGATGCAGACGATTCCTCCGTTCGCTGCGAGAAAACCGATTTTGGTCGCAAATGTTTAACGTTCTCAACAACTTTGCGAAACAGCTGCTGATCCTTGTCGCTGGCAAAGCGCAAGACGAGATTATCCGATTCGAGGGAAACGGCATAGGAACGTTTGCCTAGCTGTGCTGCATCCGTATCCGCTGATAACATATATTCCTTCAGCACATGTCCTTGATCGTTATCTGTGTGAGAAGAAGGAAGAGAAGAGAAGAAAAGCAATGTTAAAATAATTGATAATGCAAGATTAACTTAACAGAATGGATTAAGCAGTGTTAAATTGATCTGTTAACTTTCGACTCTCTTTTGTTCAATTACTTACCCAACATGATGCGCACCAGAACGCCTTGGGAATCATAACTGCAGCTGAGTGTGCAGCTGCTCTTGTAAATGTTGTTAAACTCCAATTTTTGTTCATCGGCAATGGCGCTAATTACGACGCCACTAAATTGACAGTTACTCAGCGGACATAGCGCAGCAGCGACGCTGTTGACGCCGGCGGCGCTGCATTTATTATTTTGCTCGGTAGCATTGCGGCTGCTGTTGGACATTTTGTGTGTGTGTTGGAGGGTGGAGGAGGGACGGGGTATGTTGATGTCGTTCTACTTGTTCTTAATCACAATATTTTACGTTTTAATTGACAATTTTGTTAGCGCTAAGAACACATAGGAACACACACACACAAGCACTCACACACGCACAGGGGGCACTCAACCCAAGGTTAGACAGAGACAGACGATGCACGCGAGACTCTTGCGACGCGCAAAATTTTTTTTCCTTTTTTTACACAATTTTCCACAGCAAATTTGGCGTTGAGCACTGCACGTGTTGTTGTGTCGCTTGCAACGAAATGTGGCAATTGGCGTTGATGTTGTGCAAAAATCGATCGATTTTTGTTGATTTCTCGTATTGATTTTGACACAAGAACGTGCGTTTTTTTTTTTTGCGAACGTCGCTACAACCCTGCAGCTGTGTGTGTGTGCGGTTTGACGTTTTCAAGTGAATGGCTCGGCGGTGGCGTTGCCGGATGCGATACGCTGAGTGTGTGGCAACGCTGCCGTGAGTTGGCAGCATCGATAGTCGTTTAGGGATGAGCGTGCCTAGCTACGGCGATAGTTATGAACGTTACTTTTAAATATTAGTAATATGATTCATAGTAAAATTTGTCAGCTTAGATAATAAGAATTAAAAATCAAATACAAACAAACGCATAAATTGTGTATTGCCCTTATACAGTGATTTTTAATATAAGCGTATGAAATGAGTCGATATTTAATGCGCCTCTTGACTGATAGGCATGTCTAGCCGATAAGTTGTAGAGATGAGAGAGCCAAGTCAAGAAGATAGTTGTAAATTTGACTTTTAAATATAAGTGGCAAATAATTGGGAATAATAAATATAATAAATAAATAGATTAGCTAAAATTGATTAAAACTTTATTGGAAAAGGGGTTTAAATATTTTTATAAAATAAAATATTTTGAATGTAAAAGCGCATCCGATTTAATGCTCATCTTTAAGCCAAAACAACAACAAAATATATAAGTTAATCTAAAATTTAAAATGATTTTGCGCTTGCAGGAAGAAGGCACGACGCTCGGGTGACTACGATTCGTGTAGTGATGATGAGCACGAGGAGGAATTCTACTACACGGAAGACGATGATGACGACGACGACGACGATGACGTTGACAATGAATTGGTCAAGAAAACGCCTAGTCCAGCCTCGCCCCCAACGCTCAGCCATCGGGACATGGCGCGTCCCCCACACGAGGATCCCGAATACCAAAGACAGATCGTTGGCAACTTCAAGTAAGAGCAAGACAGCAATACAAATACAAAATACTCTTGCGAACAGAATAATAGCAACACTTGCACAAGAAATGTTTATAGTATCATTTTTTTAAATTTGTAAGTTAAGCGAACTTAAAAAAGTGAGCAAGATAAAAATCATAATTTTATTTGGCGTTTTCGGCTTATTTAAATTTTTATTAAAATTAAAATTAAAACATTTAGAAGCAACATTTATATATATATATATTTTTATTTTATTTATTTTTGTTTTTTTTCCTAATAAAAAAGTAGAAATGCATTTATTATTATTATTTTTTTTAATATTATCTTGTTCGCAACTGTATGAAATAAATAATTGATCATTACTAATAATTGTTGTTTATTAATTGGAAAAACAGACAAGGACGCGCAATGCATAGTTACCTAACGACGCAGCAGCAACAGTTGCCATCACATCAGCAACATCACAGCAGCAACGGCAGCCAGAACAGCAGCAGCACCAGCAGCAGCAATCACATCAGCAGCCACCAGCAGCAACAGTTGCAGAGCAACAACACCAGCTGCATACCAACATCCCCGTTGGCGCAGCAAAATTACAATTGGCCAACAAACTCAACAGTTACGCTGAGCAACAGTTGCAGCAGCAGCAGCAGCAACAACAGCAACAGTTGTAACAGCAGCAAACATGCAACACGTGCAACATCGTCGCGTCCGTCCCACTCGACAGCGCCATATCCATCGCCGACATACGTCCAACATCATCAGCAGCATCACAATTACAGCAGCAACAGTTGCAACAGCAGCAGCAACAGCAGCAGCAGCAACAACAGCAGTCCAATTATGCATAGCAACAGCAGTGCCAGTAACATGTTGCAGCAACTCACACAGCAGAATGTAACGGTAACAGCGCATCACACACAAAACAACAACAGCAACACACAACAGCAACATCAACAACAGCAGCAACATATTTCAGGTGTGACCATCACACCCAATTATCAGCCGCAGCAACATGCGCCGCAACATGCGCCGCAACATGTAGCGCAACATGCCCAGCAAAATGCGTCGCAGCATCCGCCGCAACAATTGCGCTGCCAGCAACAACAACAACAACAGCATTCAACTGCCAATAGCAACAATTTGCTAGCCAATATGGCGGCACCACTGCAGCATGTTGCCATACAGCAGGCAGCGGCCGCCGTTCGCCAAACGCCAAATTCGCCGAGTCGCCGAACGCGTGGCGAAAATAAAAAGTGCCGCAAGGTGTACGGAATGGACAGACGGGATCAGTGGTGCACCCAGTGCAAGTGGAAGAAGGCCTGCAGTCGCTTTGGCGACTGAAAGCGACTGAAAGCGTCGACGGCGGCAGAGGCGTCGACGACGACAGCAGCAACTGCATCATTAGCAACATCTGCATCAGCAACAAGCGTTCTGCGTTTGGCTGCCGGCAAAATGTTGCCAGCAACACTCACAATCAAAGCCAAGCGTCGCAGCAGCAGCAGCAACAACAATATTAACATTAATAGCAGCAGCAACAACAGCAGCAACAACAGCAGTAACAACAGCAGCACCAGTAGCAGCAACAATAGCAGCATTAATAACTGCAGCAACATTAACAGCAGCAGCAACAACAGTAGCAACTTTAACAGCAGTAGCAACAACACTGTCAGTAATAAAATGTCGCGCATTAAAAGCGTTGCCACCTCGGTAATTGTATCGCCAACGGCTGCCGCCGCCGCCAACAATGTTGCCACCACGCCCACCGATGATGTTGCTGACGCTGCCAATGGGCTGTTAACATGGAGTCGACGCGCTGCCGCCGCCAGCCAGCAACAACAGTTGCAGCAGCCAATGTTGCTGCAAGTTTAAATTAATTAATATACATAAAATGGTCTCTTCTTATTTGTTGTTGTTGTTGTTGCCAACTGCCGTGCAAATGTTGCTTTGCGCGTGGGCAACATTTGCAATAATAATACAAATAATCTACATTAAATCATAATTATTATACATATTTATTTTAAAACACCTGACTTTGTTAATTCTTATGTTAAAAAAAAAATAAAGAAAAAAAATGGCAAAGCTGGCCCGCAATTTTTATATGCATCAAAAAAATGTGTAACAAAAAATGCAAAACATAAAAAAAACAAAAAAAAAACAACAACAAATCTTAAACAAATATACATCTGATTTTTTTTAGTTCATAAGACACTAGTAAATTTTTTCATAGTATTAAGTACAATTTTCGTTCTTCTTCTTGCTCTAAAAAAAAACAAAATACCACTGCAAACAAAATATTCAAAATAACCACAAAAAATAAAAATTAAAAATATGCATATATAAATATTGAATATATATATATGTATATATATATATATATATATTCATATGTATATATATATATATATATTAATCCAAACGAAATCAACATAAATATAAATAGTGAAATGACTTGTATAAAAAATGCATATTTCAAAAAAACAGTTTCAACAATAAATTCTATGTGTGTGTTTTACATATATAAAGCTAAGATTTTAAGTATTAAGCAACTTAAAAACAGACAACAACAAAAGAATAAAAAAAAAACAACTGCAATAAATACGCATACTCATTAAATTCAAAAAGTGAAAAATTTAAAAATAGAATGAAAATTGCTTAAGGGATAAAAAAGTGCATAACGAAAAACTGCTGGTAAAAAATAAAATAAAATATATAATATATAGATAACTTAAGAACACACACATACAAATACACACATAAATACATATACATATACGTATTCATATACACATATATATATATATATATATATATATATATATATATATATATATATATATATATATACCACATCTATAGAACAATTATCCCTGAACCCAGCCCAAAAACAAAAACTGTAACATATACCATAAAGAAACCAACTTTAAACTAAATGTAGTGAAATTTTGTAAAAATAAACAAAAAAAATGAAACAAACGACATTCAATAGACCAAAACAGAAAAATAAAAATAAACTATCAATTATGATTCAAAATTTAATTTGG